GCCATCTCTCCAGCCCCCAGTCTTTTCATTTCTTACCTCTGTACCCTCCACCAAAAGTTGGGGACTGAATCTAAGGCCTCATGCCTGCTACACAAGTGCTTTACCACTGAACTATACCCAAATCCCAATATTGCCATTTCTGACATCCCTATTGGATACTACCCCTTGAGACATAGAGACAAGATAGTGCAAGCCCAGGGTTTGATTTCTTAGCACTACCTAAAACAGGACAGTGAAGACACACAGGCCTGTAATACAATCCAAGCCACTCCAGAGGTGGAAGCTGGAACAGGACAGGGTTTCAAGGAATAACTGCTTGTCACTGGAATGAAACCGGTTTTGAGGGAGTCTCAGGTAAGTGAGAGATGTTACAACCCATGTTTCAGGGAAGGAAATAGAAAGTCAGACAGTGTTGGTGACATTCCTTGGCATTCTGGGAACCTAGCAGATTCGTATGGTTTTTGCCAGTCACTGGAGAGGAAGGTAGGATCAGTATTTGCTCTTCAACACTTTCTAACCTTTAAAAGCTCCCTCTACTGCAGAATCAGAGTCCCTGCAGTTCTCTTCAACTAAGCTTGCAGCACATAATGACACCTTCTTTCTCTAGCACCAGGCTTGTCTGTCTGTGTGTGTTGTGTGTCCACAGCCTCAGCCCAGAGTCAAACTTACAGAAAGGACAAAAGAATGTCTTCAGAAAAAAATAGGAACATTCAGAGAAAAACAAAACAAACCTTGATCATGTCAAGCAAAATGTTAATACCTTACTTTTTTTTTTCCTTCTTTTTTTTTTTTTTTTGAGACAGGGTTTCTTTGTGTACCTCTGGCTGATCTGCAACTCTGTAGACCAGGCTGGCCTAGAACTCACAAAGATCTGAATGCCTCTGACTCCCAAGTGCTGGGATTAAAGGTGTGAGCCACCACAAGGTTTGTCCTTGAACTCTTTTTTTTTTAAAGATTTATTTATTTATTATATATACAGTGTTCTGTCTGCATGCATTCCGGCAGGTCAGAAGAGGGCACCAGATCTCATTACAGATGGTTGTGAGCCACCATGTGGTTGCTGGGAATTGAACTCAGGACCTCTGGAAGAGCAGCCAATGCTCTTAACCTCCGAGCCATCTCCCCAGGCCTTGTCCTTGAACTCTTACCCTCCCTCCTGCCCCATACTCCAAAGTGGTAAGATTATTGAAGTCTTTTGCATGGTATTTGTACTCATGAGCTCACGTAGGTATGTGCCTCAACATCAGAAGAAGCCCTCAGACGTCCTGCTCTTGGCTTTATTCATGTTCAGAGTTTCACTGAACTTAGAGCTAGGCTGACAGTCAGCAAGTCCCAGCAAACCTCCTGTCTTCCTGACAATGCTTGGATTACTGAGTGTATGGCCTGGCTTTTAACATGGGGGCTGAGTATTTAAAGTCACCCTTGCACAAAAAGCATTCTTACCCACTTAGGTATCTCTTACTCTGAAGCACTGATTTCTCAACCTTTAATACAGTTGTGGTGACCCCAGCCATATAATTGTTTTGTTACTTCATAATTGTAATTTTGCTGTTATGAATCATAACATAAATATCTGTGTTTTCCAGTGGTCTCAGGCAACCCCTGTGAAAGGGTCATTTGACCCCCAATGAATTGTGACCATTGTTCTGAAGGGTTTTTGTTGTTGTTTTTCTTTCTGAGAAGGAGATTTTGTAATCCCAGGTTGGTCTGAAATGCATGATCACTCCTTCAGTCTCACAGGCATTTGTCACCTTTTTGATAAGATACCTTCTAATTCTAAAATTTGGGAATTCTGTATCTTTAGCATTCATTATTTCATTGCACTAACTACAGAGACAGCAGAATAAAACAAGACATGGTTCAGACAGAAGTGGGATTCTAGAAACAAGGGACGAAATTTTATATTAAAAGGTCAACTGTGGTGATATACATCAATAATCCTAGTAGTTTGAGAAGCTGAGGCAAGAGGATAGCCTAGTCTATATAGTAAGTATAGAATTACATAGCAAGCTGGGCGTTGATGGCGCACGCTTTAATACCAGCAATCGGGAGGCAGAGGCAGGTGGATCTCTGTGAGTTCGAGGCCGGCCTGGTCTACAAAGTGAGTTCCAGGACAGCCTCCAAAGCCACAGAGAAACCCTGTCTCGAAAAACCAAACAAAGAAAAAAAAAAAAGAATTACATAGCAATACTGTGTCATAATAAGTTCTGGGGCTATTGAGATAGCCTAACACATAAACCCTGTTGTCTTGCCTAACGATTTAATGACATGGTGAAGAGAACTGACTTCTACAAGTTGCCCTCTGACCTCCACAGCTGTAGCACATGCATAGCCACATCCAAAATACATTTTTTAAATTTATTTACTTATTTTTATACTGTTCTGTATGCATATTTGCCTACACACCAGAAGAGGGCACCCAATCTCATGATAGATGGTTGTGAGCCACCATGTGGTTGCTGGGAATTGAACTCAGGACCTCTGGGAAGAGCAGTCAGTGCTCTTAAGCTCCAAGCCATCTCTCCAGCCCCCAAAATACATTTTTTTAAAGATTTATTTATTTATTTATTTATTACATATACACTTTTCTGCCTACACGCCAGAAGAGGACACCAGATTGAATTGTAGATGGTTGTGAGCCACCATGTGGTTGCTGGGAATTGAACTCAGGACCTCTGGAAGAACAGGCAGTGCTCTTAACCTCTGAGCCATCTCTCCAGCCCCCAAAATACATTTTTAAATGAAAAAAAAAAAGATTAAAAAATAATTTTACAAGCCGGGCGTTGGTGGCACACGCCTTTAATCCCAGCACTCAGGAGGCAGAGGCAGGTGGATCTCTGTGAGTTCGAGGCCAGCCTGGTCTACAGAGCGAGGTCCAGGACAGTCTCCAAAGCCACAGAGAAACCCTGTCTCGAAAAACCAAAAATAATAATAATAATAATAATTTTACTAGCTAAAACAAACAAAAAGATTTTTTGTTTTTGTTTTGTCACTTGTTTGTGTAGCTATACCCAACTGTCAGGTCCCACAATTTCCCACATGGCAGAAGAGGGCAGAGAGATCCTAAAGAACCTCAGAGTTCTCCTTTATCTCTCAGAGTGACCTTCCAAGTCCAAGAAAATGAAGGGCTTTTCAGAGTCAGTATACCGGGCAATGGTCTACTCTAGATAGCAGCTTCTGTAAACTTTTTGTTTTTTTTGAGACAGGCTGGCCTGGAACTCACAGAGATCCTACTGCCTCTGCCTACCCAGTGTTGGGATTAAAGGTGTGAGCCACTACTCCCCGGCTAATTTCTGGGACCTTCTAAAGCATAAGAGAGACCTGAACTCCTATTTCTGGCTAGCTTTAGGGAAGAACAGTATCTTTTTTGATCCTCAAGGTGCTGGAGTATATGTAGCCTAGCATTTATAAAGTCTAGGGTCTGATCCCTAACACTGCATTGAAAAAAAAAGGAAAAAAAAGGAGGTCTTATGCAATATTCAAACTGATCTAGTGACAAACCTAGCTCACTAGCTCATCTGAAACCCAGACAAGTTAGAGAGTTTGTTTTGTTTCTTTGACACAGGGTCTCATGTATCCCAGACTGGTCTTGAATTTCCTATGTACCTGAAGAGATAACTTCTAATCATTATGCTCCTGCTTCTAGTTTGAAGTACACTGAGATTTCAAGCTTGTGCCACCAAACCCAATGTACTCAGTGCTAGTGATTAAATAAGAAATGTACCAACCAAGAGTTACATCCCTAGCTCTGAGAACTAACTGAAGAAAAATTCTCAAGTGAAACCAGAAAAAACAGTATGTGAGGAAATATTCAGGGAACAGGTAGATAAAAAACAGTGACTTTCTGCATCCTGGCCCTGTCAGTCATTCTAAGACACTGGGCACTCTGCTTGCAGGACCAAGTTGCTTCTTAGTCCTTATAAGAACTGTGATACAGAAGCCATTAATGGGCCAGAGAATTCAAGCTGACAAGAGACGCTTTCCACAAGAGTCTTAGGAGGTTCTCTACACTAGTCCCTTAATCACCATTCAAACAGAAGTGTGTTTTTGGTGTGTGTGTTCTGAGACGGGATTTCTCAGTGTAGCCTTGGCTGTCCCGAAACTCACTCTGTAGACCAGGCTGGCCTCAAACTCATAGAGATCTCCCTGCCTCTGCCTCCCAAGTGCTGGGATTAAAGGCATGCGCCACCACGGTCTGGCCAGAAGTGCCTTTTCAAAGCCTGCTAATAGTAACTGCTTAAATACACCCCTTCCCCAAGAACTCAACGTGATGATCTATGGTGCCATTTTTAAGGTATTTTTTCAAGGCCCAACCAGTTTCTTGACTGTTCACAGGCAGATCCAGCACAAGTGAAGAGAAACCAAACATTCTGCAACTTCCAGCTCTGCAAACAGCTTCGAAAGGCAAATACAGTCTAAACCAGAGCTCTAGTCACAGGGCTCCTTCCACCTTTTCTTGCCCGCCATTAGCCTCAAGGGCCTCAAGCTTGGAGTCCACTTCTTCACACATTAAATTCCTACCCTATGACTTTATTCTTAAGGAGTCAACTTTGTCTCAAGCTATGCTATGCTGACTCTAGGAGGAGGTCCTGATGCATTTCAGAATTGGGTTTTTCTGAGAGAAAGAAAAAAAAACTTGGTGGCTCACACAACTAATTTCACTTTTTTGGCATCCTTCCTCCATTATAACAAAGTCAAGCAACCCACCCCAAAGCTGGAGCCTAATCATGGATAAAGAAGGGTGGAGGCTGGGCCTACCAGGCGGGAACTGCCTCTCCAAAGACAACAGGTTCAGATTTTCTAAGTCTAACTAGAGATAAAGTCCCACGAAGCATCCCCTCCCGCACCAGATTCCCTGGCCCTGTCCTCCAAAGGTTAAGTTTCGTGCACTCCCAGCAGGCAATCAGGCAGAGAATCGTTCACCTACATCCTAGCCGGGCTATGGTTTGGAACCGGGCAATGGTCCCAAGCCCCAGCAGCGGCAGGCGGGCAACCCTTACCCATGCTGGCTCTGGAGCGAGCTGGGTGGCGTTGCCCATCCCCGGATCTTCGCCGGCCGGAGGTGGGACGTGGGTCTGGGATCGGCCCGCCAACCTGCCTGCAGAGGTTGTAGGATGCGAGCAAGCCAGGCAAGGCCACACAGGGCGGGGCCCTGAGAGCTATCCTGATCGTCCGAACCAGAGAAATAGATCTGGCCACAGCGCAGTCCGGCGCAACAGCCAGGACACAGGGCAGCACGGACAGGCGTCCGTCAGGCTCTCAGCATTCCCCCGGCCGCGGCCGCAGAGAATCCGCGGGAGGCGGAGCCGCGCGCGACACATGGTGCGGGCCCCGCGCCTCTTCGGGCCTCCGGGGGGGTGTGAAGAGGGGAGGGGCCTCCCAGGGCCTCGAAGCAGAAGCTCCCGGCGGCCTAGAGCGCGGCTCCTGCGGCCCAGCCCCCGCCCCGGCGCGCTGGCCCCAACACTCACCCGTGGGGCTGGCACGATGGCGGCAGCGGCGGCGGCAACCCAGCGCGGTCTGCGACCGACTGTCCCTTCCCCCCTGCCTTCCCTTGCCCGATCCGCTGCACTCTGGGAAATGCAGTTCCTGTATAACTCCTTAGGAGCGTCGGTGAGCTTGAAGAATACTACAATTCCCAGAATGCTATTCGCGGAGGCGCAACTACGGCTCGCAGCGCGGGAGGAGAGGCAGGGAGGATATCGGAGCGAGCCCCTGAGAATTGTGGTCTAGCGGAAGCCTCTGGAACACAGTTGGCGCCAGGCTAGGATCCAGTCTCAGTCGTAGCCGGGTTCCAGCTGGCCTGGCCCCGCCTAGGCTGTGCAGCCGATGGTGCCTGACCCCGCCTCCATGGGAGCCTGGTCTAGCTTGGAGCTAGCCTGGCTTCTCCCAGCAACCCCTCGGCTGTATCTGGGTCCAGATACGACTCCCTTTGGGCCCTCTGGCGACTAGTTCTGTTCATGGTGTGGCCTTAACCCGCGTGGCGAAACCCACCCTTCTCTTGTTCCTACATTTATTGAATTCGCTCTGTATCGAGGGAGCTACTTACCCCCAAAGTTGGTTGCAAACTGACTAGGCTTTTCGTGGGCCCGAGACTCAAAACGTTCCCTTAGATGGGCCATAGTTGGGAGGGGTTAACCTCACTTGTACAGGATTTTCAAAACAAAATCGTGAGTTTTGGGGGGTTTTGCCTGTTTTGGGGTTTTTGTTTTTACATATCTAGGTTTTGTATTTATTTTTACGTTATGTATATTGTTTTCCCAAGGGTGTCAGGTCCCCTGGAACTGGAGTTACAGACAGTTGAGAGCTGCCATGATGGTGCTAGGAATTGAACCCCAGGTCCTCTGGAAGAGCAGTCAGGGCTCTTAACCACTGAACCATCTCTCCAGCCCTGAGGTTTTCTGCCTTGTTGCAGCAGAGCAATTATGAATTTTGTTTTTTACATTTTATGTTGAGGAGGGGCGAGTCATGGCATATATGTGGAGGCTAGAGAAAGCTTAGAAGAATCAGTTCTTCCACCATGAGGGCCTGGAAATAAGATTCGCAGGCTTAAAGGCGTTATTGGGCCATATTATCCTCTGAGGGTTTTTTTCTTTCTTTTTTTTTAAAGATTTATTTATTATGAATACAGCATCCTGCCTCCATGTCTCTCTGCACACCAGAAGAGGGCACCAGATCTCATCATAGATGGCTGTGAGCCACCATGTGGTTGCTAGGAATTGAACTCAGGACCTCTGGAAGAGTAGTCAGTGCTCTTAACCTCTGAGTCATCTCTCCAGCCCCTTTTTTTTTTTTTTTTTTGAGACAGAGTTTGTTTAAGTAACCCTCCATATTCTGGAACTTATTCTGTAGACCAAGCTGTCCTTAAACTGCCTCTGAATGCTGACAATAAAGGTATGCCTGGTCATCACCACCCAGCCGAAATTTTAATTATTTTTTTTAAATTTTGAGACAGAGTTTATCTGTAACCTTGGAGGTTGTCCTGGAACTCTCTCTGTAGACCAGGCTGGCCTTGAACTCAGAGATCCACCTGCCTCTGTCTTCCGAGTGTTGGGATTAAAGGCGGCGCCGCCAATGCCCAGCATTTTTTTCCTTTTTTTTTCTTTTGGTCTCGAGACAGGGTTTATCTGTGTAACAACCCTGGCTGTACTGGAACTACCTTTGTAGACCAGGCTGACCTCAAACTCACTGAGATCCGCCTCCAAAGTGCTGGAATTAAAGGTGGGCCACCACCCCCCCAAGCAGAATTTTGTTTTGTTTTTGAAGACAGGGTTTCTCTGTAGCTTTGGACACCATCCTGGACCTGGCTCTGTAGACCAGGCTGACCTCGAACTCAAAGAGATCCTCCTGCCTCTGCCTCCCGTGTACTGGAATTAAAATTTTGAACCAACACTGCCCAACCTTAATTATAATTTTTTTTTTTTTTTGGTTTTTCGAGACAGGGTTTCTCTGTATTGTTTTGGAGGCTGTCCTGGAACTAGCTCTGTAGACCAGGCTGGCCTCAAACTCACAGAGATCCGCCTGCCTCTGCCTCCCAAGTGCTGGGATTAAAGGTGTGTGCCATCAACGCCCGGCCTTTAAATGTTTGTGATACCAAGGAAACTGAAAAGGACGTTAAGGGTGAGGGTCTGGTCACTTGGGAAAGTTAGGTTGAGCCAGTTATTTTTCTTTCAATAAAAATTATAATTAAAGCCGGGTGTTGGTGGCACACGCCTTTAATCCCAGCACTTGGGAGGCAGAGGCAGGCGGATCTCTGTAAGTTCGAGACCAGCCTGGACTACCAAGCGAGTTCCAGGACAGCCTCCAAAGCCACAGAGAAACCCTGTCTCGAAAAACCAAAAAAAATAAAATAAAATAAAGGCCTTTTCCAGTCAGGTTTGTGCTGAGCACATGGCTCTGCAGCCAGCCCCAAGAACCACAGGAAAAGAAAATGGTTTCAAACACCCCTAACTCTTTCCTCCAGACTGGAAAGATCTTTAGTATTTCTGTTTTGCCATAAGTAGATCTGCACTTTTGGCTGCACCCCCCTCTTGGGGATGACTGGTAAAACTAGGCTAAGCTTCTTGATTAAGTCCTGTCTGGCCAGGCCACTTGGTTTGGCTAGATATTGCTTTTACGACCCAGTCACTAAGAACTCTGCTTTACCCTGTTGGTGAAACATCTGTAGTCTTGCCATCACCACCAGGAAAACACAAGACAAGAGACAGGAGGAAAGATCCAAGGAGTGCCGCTAAAAGGTTCAAGAGAAGCAAGGTGACAGCAGCTGTCCTTTCAAAGAACAGGAGGATGGCCCAGACTGGGAACGCCCCCACTCTAAGGAAAGCACTGACACGTGAGGGTTTGGCAGTTGACCAAAATGCACTGCTGTGCTTTCACCATCTGATTACAAGCCAAAGCTAACCTTACAAAGGCAAATTCAACTCCCCAAACTGGGCACCTGTACTGCAGCTTCCTCAAGACCTATTTCCCAACTCAGAGCCAAAGGACCAGAAGGGAAGTAGACCCTGGAGTTTTGGGGACACTTCAACTGGCAAGTCACAGGGCATGTCCCCAGGCAAGGTGATTGGCCCATAAGTAACTCAGAAGTGAGTCCAACTTAACAGAGCCTAAGAGCCCATACATGCCCCAATAGTCACAGAAACAGGTGGTTTTAAAAGGCTTTGCAGACCTGGAGAGATGGCTGGATAGTTAAGTTCATACTGCTCTTTCAGAGGACCCAAGTTTTGGTACCCAGTATCCATATCAGGTGACTGACAACTGCCTGTGACTCCAGCTTCCAAGGGATCTAATTACAGGCAGCTATAATTACACAGACATATATATAATTGAAAATAACAAAAGCAACTTAAAAAAAAGTCACAGCCAGGCTGTAGTGGCCCTGGCCTTTAATCCCAGCACTAGGGAGGCAGAGGCAAGCAGATCTCTGTGGGTTTCAGGTCAACCCGGTCTATAGAGTGAGTTCCAAGACAGGCTCCAAAGCTACAGAGAAACCCTGTTTTGAAAAACCAAACAAAAAAGCATGGTGATGTAAACTTGTAATCCTAGCAACGGGGAGGTAGAGACAGGCAGATTCCCTAAGGCTCACTGGCCAGCCAGCCGAAACTACTTGATGAGTTCCAGGCCAGTGAGAAGACCATCTCTTTCTTGCATGCTGGTGTGCGCGCACTCTCCCCCACCTCTCCCCCCCTCCCTTCCTCCCTCTCCCCCCACTCCCCACCAAGGAGCTGATAGGCAAGTACTCTACCACTAAGCTAAATCCACGACCTCTAGAAGATCTTGTCTTAAAAAAACAAATAAAGCTGGCTAGCACCTGAGGAAAGACAGACAGCTCAGGAACCTCAGGCACCCAAACTACACACATGTACACACACACGTACCCAAAGATCCCGGGAGAAAATCATGAACAAACCAAGATCTTTTCATGCAGTTTCCAAACACTATGGAGTGACCTGATCAAGGAACTTTATGAGGATCTATGTGCTTTTCGTTGCTTTATGGAGAAACTTGATCCAGTCCTTTAAAACATTTCTAGTTCAGGGCCAGCCAGTTCTTTCAAATAGGTCAAGACCTATATCCCCGTATTTCAAGGACACTTAAGCTTTAATGAAAAATAAAACTTCGAAACCCAAATAAAAACCTTACTTTTTTGTTTAATTGTTTTGCCAAACAAACACAGTGAAAACTTTAGTCTAATTGTACAGAAAATAGAATTTGTAACCAGTAGCAAACATAACGAGTTAAACCTAAGTCCCTGGTAAGCTGGATCTCCATCAGCAAGTCACCCAGAGCCCTCTCATAAATGACCTTCTGGGTAGACAGGTCCTAGAAGGCAGAGGCACAGACCAACTAGTCCCCATCAGAACCACAGGCCGCACCTCAAACAGGTAAGCACGGAAAGGAGAAATGATGTTACTGATATCTCTTATCACTACACACAGCAAAGCTGTCTCCAATTGCTGGCCAACCTTAAGATGTGGTTTTCTCAAACCCGAAGTTCCCAAGAGTTCCACCTGCATCCCTCCAGGATAAGTTTCAAGTTCAATGGTTCTGAAACCTTTGCTTAACCAGAATCTGCAACATAAACTGGGGAGTGAGAGACAAAGTCATAATTGCTGGTGTCACCAGATTCTGAAGTCCCCAACTCCTACTTCAGGAAGAAACAAATGAGGGTGCCAGATGATGACCAACAGGAGTCCCGCTGCGCTAAACCTCGACACTGTCAACCAGAA